TAGAGTTAGGAATACTCCCTCAGGCCTTTAGGCCTCGTCGTCACTGTCATCGAGCATCATTAAGGCATTCGCTTTATCAGCGGCATCAGCAACCTCCTCCTCATCATCCATAGCCTCGTCAGCAGTGGGCTCATCATCATCCAAAGGCTTTAAAAAGGCAGAACCAGTCTTGCACAAAAAAGCTGCGCGCTCAGACAAAGGATATCATTCTGCCATTGTTTCCATCTCAGCATCTGTAACCGGACGCCCTCCTATACCGAACATTCTTGCCATGACACTGGCATCACGGGCTTGCCTTTCTTGAGCAGACAAGACAGGTCCATGTGACAGATCTAGTGCCTTAGTTCAGGTCACATCTACTAACTTACCCATCAGATCCGGGTGATAAGCAACAGTCATGTCCATTGTTTCCTTTTCAATACCCTCATCCATCAGAAAACGGGTGATCAACCCCCCGTAACAGAATCTCCACCTTAAATTGTTCCTAAATTTCATCATATTTTGCCTCAGGATTGCCCCAACATTAATGGACATTCCTTTCATTAGCATATAGACTAACACCACCCTATCCCGTGTCACCTCAGTCAAATTTTTGGTAGGCAACAACACGCTACATACTATCTTCAGCCACACCCTAGCAACCTGATTAAAGTTAGCAAAATGGAGGGTATTATGCCTCCTAGTATCCTTACTCCTCTCCCACCTAGCAGTCGAATCAACCCCACACAAGGTATGTCGGATATCCCTATAAGAAGGTGTATCTGTCAAGCTATTAAACTTATCAGGGTCACAATTCGGGGTTCCTAACAACTAATTCAGAATTTGGGCAGAAAACTTGACATCTTTTCCCCTAACAAGCACTGTTTTATATTTTGTTTCAGTTAGCCAATTAGTATAAAATTCTGTCACTAACGTCAAATTGCGATCTCCCAGATTTTCAAAGATGAACCGCAAACCCAACTCATTAACAGTCTGATATATATCAGGAAATTGTGACTTTAACCGTACCTCATTCACAAATTCGTCGCCCATATACTTCGCCTCTTGTTGACATGCAAACCATTCCCAACCATACCTTTGCAAAGCCTTTTTGCCAAATTTTTGGACCGGTTCACATCCGCTAGAGGACCCGGAGGCTTCCCCTTTTCTACTCCGCTTTGAACCCGCCATATTTTTGGATTTTGGAGCCATCTCAATCTGTTAAGAAAAGAAACTAAAGAAACCAAAAAAATAGAGAAATTAGGGGAGGAGTCGGGTAGGGCAGTGAGTTGAATGGAGAAAAAGAAAAAAATGGTGGGGGAATGATGGTTTAGAAGGGGAAGGGAAGTGAGGAAGTTGGAGAGTAAGTAGTGGAGAAGTGGGGAAGAGGAGAGTTCATAGGTGGTGGAGGGAAAAATAAGAGTTTGTTGGTGTTGTAATGGAGGAAGGAGAAGAGTTAGGGAAGAAAAATAGAGAAAGGTTTGAAGGATTTGAGGAGGTGGATCGGTTAGGATTTAAGGAAAGAATGTAGGATTTAGGGGTTTTAACGGGAGTGGGTCGGGGGTGAACCGGGTCAAAACCCGGTTAAAATTTTTTTTCTGGGCAGTGGGGCGATGGGAGAGGCGAAGCGTCTCTCAGTGTGCTTGAGAAGCGTCTCTCAGTGTGCTTGAGAAGCCGCTCTGACGTGCGGCGCGCCAGCAGTGTGCTTGGCTCCAATTTTTTATATAATTTTTTTTTTACTATTACAGACTAAGTTACAAAGAATGAAAAATACCATTGAACTAAAACTAAGAACTAAAAGAACTTCCTAGATTTTACGAATTAAGACTATGCTAAAAATCAAAAATTCCAAACACGAACTCCCTATCTATTACACATTGTTCATGGGTTGCCTCCCATGTAGCGCTTGATTTAACGTCGTGGCACGACGCGACTTGGATCATTCATCATTTAGCTCAAGAACCTCCCCATCACGATTCGAATCTTCACCAAAATAGTGCTTCACTCTTTTCCCATTGACCAAGAACGTAGGACCTGTCTCACCTTGAATTTCAACTGCCCCATGTTGTGTCATCCTAATCACTTTAAACGGGCCATTCCACTTTTACCCGAGTTTCCCTAGGAACAACCTTAGTCTAGAGTTAAAGAGTAATACCTTGTCTCCCGGATTGAAAGTACGGGCCACTATGTGCTTGTCATGCCACCTCTTCGTTTTTTCTTTGTATAGTTTGGCATTCTCATACGTGTGGAGCCTAAACTCCTTAAGTTCATATAGTTGGTTGACTCTCCTTTTACTGGCTAACTCGGGGTCCAAGTTTAACTTCTTAATTGCCCAATAAGTTTGATGCTCTAATTCCGCCAGAAGGTGACATGCTTTTCCAAATACTATGTGATAGGGATAAATCACTATGGGTGTCTTGTACGCAGTTCGATATGCCCACAACGTATCATCCAACTTTTCAGCCCAATCTTTCCTCTGCTCATTCACCGTTTTCTGCAAAATTTGCTTTACCTCTCTATTCGACACCTCCACTTGGCCACTTGTTTGAGGATGGTAAGTTGTCACAACCTTATGACGAATACCATACTTAGCAAGAAGGTTCTTAGAAAGATGGTTAACTAAATGCTTACCTCCATCACTTATGATTGCCCTTGGCGTGCCAAAACGAGTGAAGATGTGCTTCTTGATGAACTTTATCACCACCCTTAAGTCATTGGAAGGAAGAGCGACCGCCTCAACCCATTTGCTAACATAATCCATAGCCACAAGAATATATTGGTTTCCACTTAATGGTGGGAAGGGACCCATAAAGTCAATACCCCACACATCAAAAATTTCCACCTCCAAAATGTTGTTTAGTGGCATCTCATGTCATCTTGAAATAGTACCCAACCTTTGGCATCTATCACAACCTTTCACAAAAGCAACAAAATCTTTAAATAGCGAGGACCAAAAGAAACCAGAATGTAGTACCTTATGAGCAGTGCGTTCTCCTCCATGATGACCTCCATATGGGCTAGCATGACAACTTTCCAGCACTTTGTGAACCTCATACTCAGGGATGCACCTTCTCCCTGCCCGTTGTTTGAACAAGAATGGTTCATCCCAAATGTAGAAATTGGCATCATGGTTAAGCTTTTTCTTTTGTTGGGTGGTAGCATACGGAGGATAATCACCACTTACTATCAAATTCACTATGTCTGCATACCATGGCACTTGAGAGATATCCAATGCCATTAATTGATCATCCGGAAACTCTTCCCGGATTTGCTCACCTTCATTCACATGTGAAAAATCTTCCAACCTAGATAAGTGATATGCTATTTGATTCTCCGTACCCTTCCTATCCTTGATTTCGAGGTTGAATTCTTGGAGAAGCAATATCCACCGAATCAGCCTTAGTTTAGCATCCTTCTTGTTGAATAGGTACCTAGTAGCTGCATGGTCTGTAAAAACAATCACTTTAGTACCTACCAAATACGATCTGAATTTGTCGAAGGCAAACACTAGGCCCAACATCTCCTTCTCAGTCACTGTGTAATTCGCTAGAGTAGAATCAAGGGTCTTGCTTGCATAATAGATTGAGTGGAACACTTTATTCTTTCTCTGTCCTAATACTACACCCACTGCTACATCGCTTGCCTCACACATAAGTTCAAATGGTAATTCCCAATTAGGGGCAATTAAGATGGGAGCCTCAATTAAGTTCCTCTTCAGCATCTCAAAAGCTTTCGAACACATCTCATCGAAGTCAAACTTCACCTCCTTCTCCAACAGACTGCACATAGGTCTTGCAATCTTGGAAAAATCCTTGATGAATCGCCTGTAAAAACCTGCATGACCAAGAAAACTACGCACACCTTTTACAAAAATGGGAGGGGGCAATTTTTCAATAACTTCTACCTTAGCCTTATCAACCTCCAAACCAGATTTAGACACCTTTTGTCCAACACTATCCCCTTTCTTACCAAAAAAGACACTTTTCCCAGTTTAGAACTAAGTTAGTGTCTTCACATCTAGCAAGTACTTTATCAAGATTCTGGAGACATACATCAAAAGACTTCCCAAAGACAGAGAAATCATCCATGAACACCTCTACAAAGTCTTCCACCATATCATGAAAAATGTCCATCATACACCTTTGAAAAGTCACCGGTGCATTGCAATGTCCGAATGTCATGCGTTTGAAAGCATATATACCATACAGACAAGTGAATGTGGTCTTTTCCTGATCCTCGGGTGCAATCAAGATCTGGTTGTAACTTGAATAGCCATCTAAGAAACAATAGTACTCCTGGCCTGCTAACCTGTTAAGCATTTGATCAATAAAGGGAATGGGTAGTGATCTTTCGAGTAGCATCATTAAGTTTTCGGTAATCCATACAAATTTGCCACCCTGTCACTGTTCTAGTAGGAATTAGCTCATTCTTTTCGTTTCTTACCACAGTCATACCTCCCTTCTTGGGAAGACATTGCACCGGACTTACCCAGTTACTATCAGAGATTGGGTAAACAGCCCCAACATCTAACCACTTGATCACTTCCTTTCGTACCACTTCATTCATCAATGGATTTAGACGACGTTGATGTTGTGTACTTGGTTTGTGATCATCTTCCATGTAAATTCTGTGCATACATAATGCCGGACTAATCCCATGAATATCAACCATTTGTTATCCAATTGCTTTCTTCTTCCGCTTCAAGATTCTCAATGTTGCCTCAACTTGTAATTCAGACAATTCTGCAGAAAGTGTAACAGGCAGAGTTTCATTAGTACCCAAATAAGCATACCTTAGGTGGGCTTGCAAGGCTTTTAGCTCTAACTTAGGAGCCTCTTCAATTGATGGTATTGGAGGGGGCCCTAACTCACGATCTAAAGACTCCACTTATGTCCTACGAGTTTCTACTACTGCTAGATTTAAGCATGATTCAGTCACTTGAGCTTCTGCATCTCCCTCGAACTGTTGATCCACTAACTCTCTTTCTAAGGGGTCTTCGGGCAAAACTAACTGTGGCTCTACTATGCGATCAACCACATAATAGCAGAGAACTCTTCATAAATAGAAGGTAATTTTAAAGCTCGGTAAACATCAAATACCTCTACCTTATCATGTGCCCTCATGGTTAGTTGACCAGCTGCTACATCAATCAACGCCCTACCCGTAGCCAAGTAAGGTCGTCCCAAGATAAATGGGACTTCAGAATCGGGTTCAAAGTCTAAGAACACATAATCCACTGGGAAAATCAATGAACCTACTTGCACTAACACATCTTCTACCACCCCCTCTGGCTTAGCAGTGGATCTATCGGCAAGTTGGAGAATGACAGTGGTTCGTTTTGGATTACCTAACCCAAGATTTTGGTACACAGATAGAGGCATTAAATTTATACTTGCCCCCAAATCACACAACCCCCGGGCATGACCACTTTGCCCAATTGTAATCTGCACAGTGAAACTACCCGGATCTTTTAACTTTTTGGGCAATCTTTTTGGATCCTTGAGCTGCACTCCTTAGTAAGTGCTACAGTTTCATATTCAGTGAGTCTCCTCTTGCTGGCCACAATGTCCTTCACGTATTTAGCATACTTCGGGATACCCTGCAAAATGTCAACCAAAGGTAGATTAATGTGAACTTGTTTAAGGAGAGAGAAACTTACCAAAGCATTTATCTTCATTATGCTTTTTCAGCCTCTGTGGAAATGGAGGTGGTAATTTCTTTTGAGGAACAGGTGCCTCAATATTGGAGCTTTTCACTACCTCTTCCACTTTCTTTTCTTTGTTTGATACATCAATGTCTCTCTTCTTTGGAGCTAGTTCCTCTAATTGCAGCCCACTTCGAGTACTTACCGCATGTAATTGCTTTGAATTGGACTCAATATCACTGGGCAACCCACCTTGGGGACGCAAGTTCAAAGAATTTTCCACTTGCGCAACTTGTTTCTCTAAACTCATTTGGGACATCTGGAAGTTTCTAATGTTCTCATCCTGCTTATCTATTCTAGCATTTAATTTGGTCCATATTTCAGTCATGAGCTTTTGTAGTAGCTCTTTTTGTGCTCTAGAATTTCAGCCTTAGTTATGATTGTAGTATTATTGCCCAGTCCCTTGAGAACGGTATTGGTTAATCCGTTGCACCTAATTTTGGTTTTGGTTCCCATCCCATGAGAAGTTAGGATGGTTTTTCCAACTAGGGTTGTAAGTGTTACCATAATTTTGTTGCACTCCACCTCTTTGCGCATTACCCACATAGTTTACAGAATCCGGGTTTGCCTCACATTGTTCGGTTTCATGAGTTCCACTGCCACATACCTCACACCAATTTGCTGCCTGTTGTAATACATTTACCAGAGCCTGATTTAGAGCTATTTATTTAAATTGCAATGTAATGTTATGTTGTATTGCATCTAATTTAGCATTAATGGCAGTAGCTTGGTCTACATCTAAGATCCCTGCAGCCTTTTGGGTTGGATATCTGGACATTTCTCCCTCATATCCTTGGTTCCCTTCAGAAAGTTTATCGATTAAGGCGAAGAACTCTTCTCTTGTTATGGCTAAGGCCTGTTCACATGCTGCACTATTAAGAAGAGAACAAGCGTTATAGTCTAAGCCTTCAAAGAAAGTGTGACAAAGTACCTCATTGGTTTGCATGTGATGTGGGCAAGCATTCAATATTTGTTTGAAACGCGCCCATGCTTGGTACATGTCCTCCCTTTGCTTTTGAACAAAGTTTATTATCTCTCCTCTCAACTTCGCGATTTTCTTGGATGGAAAAAATCGACTCAAGAACTTCTTTGCTAAATCATCCCAAGAAGTGATGGAGTTTGGTGGCTCAGAATCTAACCAACATCTTACAGCTCTTAACAATGAGTATGGGAACAAAGTCAACCTTACATAGTTTGATGATACTCCAATTGGGATGTATGTATTGGTGATGTCTATGAAAGTTCTAAGATGGACTTGAGGATCCTCATAGGGGAGACCAGTGAATTTCCCATTAGTATGGAGGATATGTACCATGTTTTGCGTTAGTTCAAATTCTCCCCCCCTCGGTGGAGGTTTCCTAATACTAGATGCCATGTTGGCTGTGAGAGGGACTGCCTCATCACGGACTGGTCTTGCGGGTACGATTGGCAGTGCTCCTTGGTTATTTGGGTTTCTTTGGTTATTCACGTTTTTTGGGTTTTTTAAGTTGTCTTGATTATCATCCTCAACATTTTCTAGAAGACCTAACCCCAATTCTCCTCGTCCTTGATTCATCTTTCTGCGCTGTCGTAGAACTCATTCAGTTTCATTGTATGCTTCGACAAGTTCTCCTTTTCTAGCCAGACCTGAAAGTCAAGTGCCTGCAATAAACAAGCTAAGATCAAGTAATTAATATCTAAATATTTTAAGCGTAGACTTAAAAAGATTGAGTATAAATCAATTTTGAAGTCCCCGGCAGCGGCGCTAAAAACTTGTTGCTCCCCAATATACACGCAAGTGTACGTGGTCGCGCAAGTAATATAGATTCTTTAAGAAATGAGTTATTGTTCCCAAGGGACCTATGATCAACTTAAATTCACTTAGTTCTACAACTAAAAGTAACCAAGTAACCTTTTTAAGAGTTGATGATTTAGTTAATTACCTACTAATAATTATGCTCTAAATAAAAGTAACCTATAGTGAACAACTTTGTTAATATGTTTCAAGCAAGTTTAAAACATTTCCAGGGCTGCAACTAACATTGAATATCATGCATCATATCATCGACTTAGAATTCACTTCAGTTTTAAAATTACTGGTTTATAGGGTTGATAGTATGGTCTGAGTGGTTCGCCTCTCGCCGCCTACCCTAGTTAGACATCTAACTACATCGTTGAGCAGGGATAAATAAACTAACTGGCGAGCATTAATATTTCATCATATTTCGTAACCAAGCAAGGTGTTCGTCTAGGCGTCACTCCTAAACACTAATCACCTCAATATAATGGGTGGACCGAGCTCTCTATATTCTCTGGTCTATCTAATCCCTCCTCATTCGATTTTAAGATTAGACACTAGATTTATTTTATGGTGTGCAAGCATAAATAGTAAAACAAGAAGATATAAGTAATTTAGATTGACAACCGAAAATCAATTCATAAAGCCTCAAACATTCAACACATTATCCATAGCTACAACCCCAGAAATAGGGTGTTTAGCTACTCATGCTACTAAAAAACAAGAAAATATAATGGTTCATGCAATTTCCGGAAAATAGAAGAGTTGAAGGATTAAAACCTATTACAAACTTGAATTCTTGCCCTTGCACACTAAATCAAAAGTTGAACCCTTATTATGGAACCCTAAGGATCTATTTATACTAGTAGGAAAAGTTGGGAACCAATCCTACCCAAATTAGGAATCCTATTTAATGTTAAAAATTTGGAAAAGTCGGAGAACAGGTGGCGTGTCGCGCCCCTTATCGCGCCTCAAGGTTTCTTCACTCGTTTAGCTCCTGGCGTGCCACGCCAAGCAAAGCGCCTGGGCAGCGCCTCTGAGGTTTCCCTTCTGGCTAATCTCAGTACATCTCAACAGGCTCTCTAAAGTACCTCTAGTGGCGCGCTGCGCCAACCAGGGCGCCAGTCATTGGTGATTTTTTTTGCCCTAGCCATTTTCCTGCATCTTTTTGCTCCTTTTTCCATCTTCCCAATTCATATTCCATCAAGATTTCCTGAAACAACTAATCACATGTGTAAGTATGCAATCATCACAAGTTAAACTAGAATTCAAGCTAATAAATCAAGATCGTCATCAAACATCATCACTTCGTGGGCCAATTTTGACTACTTAGGTATATAAATATGCCTAAGATCAAGCTACTTTGCCAATCCTCTTGGATATTCGATAAGGTTCAATATACCAGGGATTAAGTTTCCCATTCTTACCGAACCTCCTAACACCCTTCATGAGTGAAACTTTTAGATATACCCAATCATCTACTTCGAACTCCAACACCTTTCTCCTGACATCAGTGTAGGATTTCTAACGACTCTGTGCCATTTTAAACCGCTCTTGAATCGCTTTCACCTTCTCCATAGCTTGATGGACTAAATCTGGTCCTATTAACCGTTCTTCACCAACTTCAAACCATCCAATAAGAGATCTACATCTTCTCCCATAAAGCGCTTCATATGGAGTCATCTGGATACTAGAGTGGTAACTATTGTTGTATTCAAATTCAATAAGGGGTAGGTGATCACCCCAATTACCTTTGAAATCGACCACACAGGCCCTCAACATATCTTTTAATGTCTGAATAGTGCGCTCTACTTGCCCATCTATCTGAGGATGAAAAGCAGTACTTAATTTCACCTTTGAACCCAAACCTTTCTGAAAAGATTTCCAGAATTGTGCACTAAATTGTGCACCTCTATCTGAAATAATGGAGACTGGGACTCCATGAAGTCTTACCAACTCCTGAATATATAACCTGGCGTAATCCTCTGTTGAATGACTAGTCTTTATCGGCAAAAAGTGGGTTGGTTTTATCATTCTGTCGTCAATAACCCAAATAGAATCATGCTGCCTGCGAGACCTTGGTAAACCTGTGATGAAGTCCATATTAATCATCTCCCACTTCCATTCCGAAAGTTCTATTTTGTGCTCTACTTTAACTTGTTGGCAATTTGGGCACTTAGCAACAAATTTTGCCATGCCCTTCTTCATACTATTCCACCAATACACGTCTTTCAAATCACGATACATCTTTGTGGTAGCCGGCTGAATGGAAAATGTCTGTAACATCTCACAATTTGAAATAACTAGGAAGAAGCTAATAATTGGAAATATGCATTTATGGAAAGAATGAAAATCTGGAAAAAATAAAATTTGTTTAAGTTAGGAAAAGTTGAGTTTTGGTCAACTTCAAACGGCCACAACTCATAGCTCAGGATGAGTTAGGTGTACTTCTAGATATGGTTTGAAATCTCTTGGAATGCTCTTTCCAACGCTGCCAATTTTGCGCGATTTCGAGTTCGTATGAGTTAGTTATATTCTTTGGAAGTTGGGTTGTGCGATAAAGGAAAGTCTAATGCGAATTTTTGAAGAGTAGATTAGTCTTTTCCTTATCAAATTAATGTAATTCATTTGAGTGAATTCATTAAGGGTCAAATAAGAATGAGATCAGTTTAGTCAATTGGAAATTCACGCTAGGGCTGGGAGAAAAGAGAAAACATGAGAAAGAAGAAGAAAAGTTCAGATTTTGCTAAGATCGTGCGATTTGGTGGTGGATTTTGCCAAGGAATTAATCTTACAAGGTATGTGGGTCTTACACATCGTTGGGTTCATTCACCCACGTGCCAAACATGTTTAGTTCAGCGAAATTCATCATAAAAGAGTTTGGAAGTTGATGTTCTTGACATGTATTCTAGAATTTTAATGTTGATCTTGAATTAGGATGAAATGAGGAGTTTCTGAGATCTTTGAGTCGAATTACAGAGTTGTTTTGAGTTAGGTTCTTGAATCCATATGCTAGGTATCGAAATCTAAAATGAATTTGAGATCAATAGTCTAGTTTAGGCGAATTGGGGCCATAAAACGGAGAAGGAAAAAGTCGGCGGTGATCTGGCACGCAAGTCCGCGTTGCGCACTTGCTCTTCTAGTGACCAAAAAGTTTCTCTGCATCGCGGTTAAGACGCGGACTCCTCTGTCTCAAAATTTAATTTCACGAGTAATTATTTAAAACACCTCCGCGTCGCGGACTTGTTCCAAGACGGTGATTTCGTGACCTTTCTCATGTTTAGCTTTTTAAGATCATTCCTAAACATCATGTGATCCTTCCTATCACAAATCAAAATCCTTTAATCCATAATTCAATTCAAGGACCAGGTAAGAGTCAAGTCAAGACTAGTTAAGATCAAAGTCTAGAGAAGTTCTTACAGTTTTCCAAACGTCTTTCGCAAACGTTTTAACTTTGTTTTAAGACTTAAGTTTTGAGTTTAGTAAAGAGTAAAGCTTGAAGTTCATTTCTTCAAACGTATATGGGGACTATATATTCCCAAAGGGTTTAAAATATTTCCATATTTAAACAAGAAAGGCAACCTCGATTTCCAAAGGGCCTTCGGGCTAGTTTTAAGAAAAGAGAAATCGCTTCTAAATGAAGCAAGAGGGGAGACTTTGATTTCCAAGATAGCCTTTAAGCTAAGTTTTTGAGCACTAATCTCAAATCACAGAAGAAGTATGCTTTTAAACATAAAGAGCTAGTATCATATTTTGAGAGTAGTATTGAGCACCGATATGGGAGAGCGTTCAGAGAACCCATAGCTCCCATAAACCATGTAGCCATCATGGGTAGAAAATGGTCATACTTTTTAGAGGAACCCTTTTCGCATTGACTAGCGGATCCACGTAGTAGTTCAGGTCGTATACCTGTGGCAAGGTATAAGATGCGCTGGCAGCTTGAGGAAGATCGATGTATCATCACTATAGCTCTTAAGTGATGGTTGTCGAATAGAGAAACTCCCACACAAGTTATTTGTATTTTTACATACATTTCAGAGTTTTAGTGTATCTTTCCATATGCCCAGAGTAGACAAACAACTTTTTTTTATATTGCACTTGTTTTAAAACATCTTTATATTGAAATGAGTTCAGTTATGTTGAGTTGAGTTGAGCCAGGTAAGTTCTTCAGTTTCCTTTCAGTTTCTTTTCAAGCTTAAGTTGTGTTTAGCATTCCAACTCACATACTCATACATTCAATGTATTGATGCCAGTTGTCCTGCATCTTATTATGATGAAGACACAGGTAACTAGGATCAGCATCCAATGCATCGTTTATCCAGTGAGCACTCCAAAGTCAGTTGGTGAGCCTCTTTGCGTTCCGGAGGAGTCATTTTATTACTTTTAATTATTTTATCAGTTCATTAGGATGTTGTAGGGATTGTCACAACATCCATATCAGTTGTTTTTAGAGGCTTCATAGATAGTCAGTCAGTTAGTAGTTCAATTGTCTTTATATTATCATTCAGATGTAGTTTACAAACTTCAGTTGCCGTTTTGGCGAAGTTTATATCTCTTTATAGCTATGTTTTGAGATTATCTTGTTAAGTTAAGTCTTTCGCTGAGTAGGTAAGCCAGGCCAAGGATTTGCTTAGGGCCAGTATTGGTTCTTGAGTGCCGGCCACGTCCAGGGTGTAGGCTCGGGGGGTGACAAACTTGGTATCAGAGCACGTTCAAGAGTCCTAGGGAGTCTATGATGTCGTGTCTGTAGAGTTGTAGGTATCGATGTGAAGCGCGCCTCATCTATAATTAGAAGGCTACAACATTTAGGAAAATATCTCACTTCTTTCACACTCTTTTCGTGCATTAGAGTTGATCTCTAAAAAGTTCCTTCTAATTTGTGCTTGTGCATGTTTTTAGATAATCATACCACCACGAAGAGCAGTCAAAGGTTGTCCAGCTAGCAGAAATGTTGAGGAACAAGAGTTATCTATAGCACCTGAAGTGCAACATCAAGGAGAAGTTACCAATGCTGAATTCAGGGAAGTAATCAGGATGCTAAGTCAGGCTGTGACTAACCAGGTTGGGCAGCAAAGAGGAGTTGGATAGAATGAGGCTGATACTTCAAGGATTCGTGAGTTCTTGAGGATGAATCGTCCAAGTTTAACTGGTTCAAGCACTTCTGAGGATCCGTAGAACTTTGATGATGAATTGAAGAATGTATTTGAGGTTATGCATGTTGCTGATGTTGAGCAAGTTGAACTAGCTGCATACCAACTGAAGAATGTTGCTAGGACTTGGTTTGACCAGTGGAAAGGGGGTAGAGATGAGAAGGCACCACCTGCGAGTTGGGCCTGTTTTGAGGAGACTTTCTTGGGGCGTTTCTTTCCTCGAGAACTAAAAACAATGGCCAAGGTACGTGAGTTTCTCACACTTAAGCAGAATTCTCTAAGCGTTCATGAATATGGGTTGAAATTCACCCAATTGTCCCGTTATGCTCCAGAAATGGCTGCGGACATGACGAGTAGAATGAGCTTGTTTGTTGCTGGGTTGGCTCGTCTGTTGAGTAAAAAAGGTAGGGCCGCAATGCTAATTGGGGAAATGGATATATCGCGGTTAATGGTGTATGTGCACCAGGTTGAGGAAGAGAAGTTAAGGGATAGAGAAGAATTTAAGAACAAGAGAGCCAAGACAGGAAATGAGTTTGGGCAGCAAAAGAGTAGTACCAACCGGTCATCTTTCCAACAGAAACAAAATGGACTACTCCATCATCTTCTAGTGCACGCGCACCTAAGAACAAATGTGAGTACAATAGTCAGAATTTCAGAGCTAAACAAGCTTATTCTCCGGGTAGTGTGGCACAACGGGGTAGTAAGCTTCCTGCATGCGCCAAGTGTGGTAGGAAACACTCAGGTAATTGTTGTGAGGGCTCCACTTGTTGTTTCAAGTGTGGTCAAATTGGGCATTTCATGCGAGAGTGTCCTAAGAACATGCAAGGAAATGGTAATGGGGCAACAAAGCCCAGTCTTCTTCAGATGCTCTACTAGACAGAGCTGCACCTAGAGGGGCTACTTTTGTTACTGGCGGAGGAACAAACTGCTTATATGTTATCAACAGTCACCAAGAGCAAGAGTATTCGCCAGATGTTGTCACTGGTATGATCCAAGTCTTTGACTTTACTGTTAATGCTTTGCTAGACCCAAGTGCGAGTTTATCTTTTGTAACTCCTTACGTTGCTATGAATTTTGATGTTATTCCTAAGCAACGTAGTGAACCATTCAGTGTTTCTACACCTGTTAGTGAGTCTATTCTAGCAGAGAGGGTCTACTATGATTGTCCCATTCCCGTCAATCACAAGAGTACCATGGCTGATCTAGTTGAGTTAGACATCGTAGATTTTGATGTCATACTTGGTATGGAGTGACTTCATGCCTGTTATGCCTCAGTTGACTGTAGAACTCGAATTGTCAAGTTTCAGTTTCCAAATGAGCCAGTCTTAGAGTGGAAAAGTAGTTCAACAGTGCCTAAGGGTAATTTAATTTCGTACCTTAAGGAAATGAAGTTAGTTTCCAAGGAATGTGTCTATCACTTAGTCCGAGTTAATGACTCAAGTGTTGAGGTACCTCAAATTTAGTTAGTTTCAGTAGTAAGAGAGTTTCCAGAAGTCTTTCCAGATGATCTTCCTGGAGTGCCTCCTGAGAGAGAGATAGACTTGGCATAGACCTTCTTCCAGATACTCGTCCTATATCTATTCTGCCATATAGAATGACACCATCAGAGTTGAAATAGCTTAAAGAGTAGTTGAAGGATCTTTTAAATAAGTGCTTTATTCGACCAAGTGTCTCACCTTGGGGAGCTCCGGTCTTGTTCGTGAGAAAGAAAGATTGTTCCATTAATATGTGTATAGATTAACGTCAATTGAACAAGGTTACCATCAAGAAAAAAGTATCCTCTTCCAGGGATTGATGATCTTTTCAATCAGCTTCAGGGTGCTTCTTGTTTTTCGAAAATAGACCTCAGATCTGGATACCATTAGTTGAAAGTAAGGGAATTTCATATTTCGAAGAAAGCATTCAGGACCCGTTATGGTCACTATAAGTTTCTGGTCATGTCATTTGGTTTGACCAATGCACTTGCAACATTCATGGACCTTATGAACAAAGTTTTGGAACCTTATTTAGATATGTTTATTATCGTCTTCATTGATGACATACTAATCTATTCAAGGAATGAAGAAGATCATGCTAGTCATCTCATAATAGTTTTTCAGACTTTGAAATATAAGGAGTTATATGTTAAATTCTGAAAATGTGATCTTTGGCTTGAGCCTATGGCGTTCTTAGTCCACATAGTTTCCGGTGATAGAATTAGAGTTGATACCCAAAAGATAGAGGCAGTGCAGAGTTGTCCTAGACCCACATCTCCAACTGATATTAGGAGTTTCTTGGGTTTGGCTGGATAGTATAGAAGGTTCATAGAGGGGTTCTTGTCTATTTCATCCCCTTTGACCAAATTGACTCAGAAGACAATTAAGTTTCAATGGTCTGAAGCTTGTGAGAAAAGCTTTCAGGAATTGAAAAAGAGGTTAACTACTGCCCTAGTATTGACTTTACCAGAAGGTACACAAGGTTTTGTGGTGTATTGTGATGTATCTAGAGTTAGATTGGGTTGTGTGTTAATGTAGAATGTCAATGATATAGCTTATGCCTCTAGACAATTGAAAGTTCATGAGAAGAACTACCCAACCCACGACTTAGAATTGGCTGCTGTAGTATTTTCTTTGAAAATATGGCGCCATTATCTTTATGGTGTTCATGTGGATGTGTTCACCGATCACAAGAGTCTTCAGTATATGTTCACTCAGAAAGAGCTCAATCTCAGACAGAGACGGTGGTTAGAATTACTCAAGGATTATGACATGAGTAATCTTTACCACCTAGGTAAGGCTAATGTTGTTGCTGATGCTTTAAGCAGGTTGTCTATGGTTACCAAAAGATGTGCATAGACTTGCACGCTTGTGAGTCAGACTTATGGATTCTACAAAAGGAGGAGTAGTGGTGATGAATGAGGCTGAATCATCATTAGTGTCAGAACTAAAAGGCAAGCAATACCATGACCCTATTTTGCTTAAATTGAAGGCAAATGTTCATAAGAAAAAAGTATTAGCTTTTGAACAAGGGGGAGATGGCGTACTGAGATATCAAGGTAGATTGTGTGTACCAATGGTGGATGGACTCCAAGAGAGGATAAGGGAGGAGGCTCATAGCTCCAGATATTCCATTCATCCGGGTTCCACAGCGCGATTTGAAAGAGGTGTATTGGTGGAATAGTATGAAGAAGGGCATTACATAATTTGTTGCTAAGTGCCCAAATAGCCAACAAGTTAAAGTAGAGCACCAAAGCCTGGTGGTTTGGCTCATAATATAGAACTTTTGGAATAGAAGTGGGAGATGATTAATATGGACTTCATCATAGGTTTACCAAGGTCTCGCAGTCATCATAATTCTATTTGGGTGATTGTCGACAGAATGACAAAATCAACCCACTTTTTGCCGGTAAAGACTACCCATTAAGCGGAGGATTATGCCATGTTATATATTCAGGAGGTGATAAGGCTTCATGGAGTCCCAGTCTCCATTATTTCAGATAGAGGTGCACAATTTACTGCACAATTCTGGAAATCTTTTCAGAAAGGTTTGGGTTCAAAGGTGAACTTAAGTACTGCTTTTAATCCTCAGACAGATGGGAAAGTAAAGCGCACTATTCAGACATTAGAAGATATGTTGAGGGCCTGTGTGATCGATTTCAAAGGTAATCGGGATGATCACCTAAACCTTATTGAATTTGCATACAATAATAGTTACCACTCTAGCATACAGATAGATCTATCTGAAGCTCTTTATGGGATAAGATGCAGATATCCTATTGGATGGTTTGAAGTTGGTGAAGCAGGGTTGATAGGACAAGATCTAGTTCATCAAGCTATGGAAAAGGTGAAGGTGATTCAAGAGAGGTTGAAAACGGCGCAGAGTCGTCAGAAATCCTACACTGAAGTTAGGAGAAGGGCGTTGGAGTTCGAGGTAGATGATTGGGTATATCTAAAAGTTTCACCCATGAAAGGTGTTATGAGGTTTGGTAAGAAGGGGAAACTTAGTCCCCGGTATATTGGGCCTTATCGAATATCCAAGAGGATTGACAATGTAGCTTATGAGTTGGAGCCTCCACAAGAGTTAGTCACGGTTCATCCGGTATTTCACATCTGCATGTTGAAGAAGTGCATGGGAGATCCTTCATTGATCATACCAACTGAAAATATTGGGATCAAGGACAACTTATCTTATGAGGAGATTCCTGTTCAAATTCTAGATCGCCAAGTTCGCAAGTTGAGAACAAAAGAGGTAGCTTCAGTCAAAGTCCTTTAGAGGAATCAATTTGTGGAGGAAGCTACTTGGGAAGCTGAAGAAGAGATATCCACATATCTTTGAGTCCGGAGAAAATGCAGACCAAGGTACTGATTCTCTTCTTAGTACTCTTTAAATTATGAGTGAGCATATTGCTTGTTGCATTTGCTTGTTGGGTGTTTGAACTTGATATTACACCCTAGCATAGTAAGAGTAATCTCATTCGAGGACGAATTTTCCCAAGGGGAGATATTGTAACATCTCGCAATTTGAAATAACTAGGAAGAAGCTAATAATTGGAAATAGCCATTTCTGAAAAGAATGAAAATCTGGAATTTTTTTTTTGTTTAAGTTAGGAAAAGTTGAGTTTTGGTCAACTTCAAATGACCATAACTCCTAGGTCGAGATGAGTTAGGTGTACTTCTAGATTTAAGAATAGTTTTATTTAGTTGAACATATATTTGAAAACCAAAAGTATTAGTAGGAAAACTATATAAGAAAAGTTTTAGTTAGAGCCATTATTATATTTTGATTCAAATATAAAATAACTACAAAAACTACTTGCATTGACCATTTCATCAACCCTCGTGTCAACTCTACGGTTCAAGACTGATTGCTCTACCTCAATCCAAATAAAGCAATTGTCATACTTATATTTGAACATGAACACAGGGTCTTCCACAAGTTTTTCAATATACGAATTTGACTCGCTAACAATAATTGGAACACATTGAGACTTCAAAATTTTTCTATGTAGACAATGGACTTTAGACAGAAATCTTCGGCTGTGAAGTCAAAATCAGGCTCAATTTCACCTTAAAAAATTGTGAAACAAAATAACTGTCAATTAATATTCACATTAAAATAAACGAATCACAAAACAATGTCTTTTTCAAATATGTATACCTAGCAAATAGTGTCGTACACCTTGTTTCTCAGCGTGTGTGATCTTGTTGGTCACTCTTTCAAGTCCCTTATATACTTGTATTTTGTCCGAGTTGATTATTTCACCTCAAAAATGGGTGGCAAGGTCAACAGAGAAACGAGATTTTCCCGTTCCTGTTGATCCCATTATGAACACCACTTTCTTCTTGTTGAACTTGTTGTTGTTGTTGATGAAAATATTCATTTTAGCTACACATAAAATAAAGTCATAATAATAATTAGTTTAAAATAGTAAATAATCTCATGAAAACCACTCATGCATACACTTATATATTAATTTTTTTTATAAATATAAAGTTAATAAGTAGAAACATTGCTTGAGATGTAATAAACTATGTAAAAGAATATATTTTTCTTGATGGTGGTTATGAAAGAGATTGCATTGAGCATTTAAAGTAAAGTGTATTTGTGGACTTATTAATTGGCATACCATATTCAGAAATACTGATATATTTTTGGATAAGATCAACGACTTTTGAAAAATGTATAGATATGTTAACTGGATTTTGGTAATGACAAGTAAATAATCTTAAGATAAAGTTATCAAATATACATTGTTTGGAGATCGCATATAACTGGGCATTTATAGTAAAAATGTGATTATGAACTTATGAATTGGTATATACCAAATTTAAAAAAATTTCTTATCTTTTAGGATAAGAATAATTCTTGAAAAAAACCTACAGATACGTCACCTTGAATTTGGGTAATTAGGCTTAAATAATTTTAGGATGAAGTTTCTAGATGCACATTGTTATTAGATCACATACAAGATAGACGAAAATATTGATTTTAAAAGGATTGTAAAAAGAACTCAACAATATTTCTGAAGGAATACGTTGAAGTGATAATGCGTCAATTCATACACTATTTAACAACACATCATAAGTGCTAAATCTAATTCAATTAGAAGGGAAGGAACAA